TGGTGGACGGTGGTAGTGGTGGACGGTGGCGGTAGTGGTGGACGGCGGTGATGGTGGTGGACGGTGGTGGTGGTGAAGAGAAGTAGAAGAAAAAAATGGAGAAGATGTAAGATGTTAGAAGACATAGGTTAATGTCTTCTCCAAGAAGATGTCAGGAAGACCTTTTTGAGTGAAATGTCTTCCAAAAAACAAACAATCTGCAGAGCTCAGCATCTGCGAGCGTCTACGCGGCGCAGACAAAAGAGGCCAGAAGCTCTTCTGGCCAAAAAAACAAACACCCCCTAAAAGTAGAGATGCAGTTTACCAAACAACATGAAATGTGAAGAGAAAATAATTTTCTTTGAAAAATATTTTTCCTCCAACCAAACACACTATTAATCTAAATTTTCTGCTCCCTAAGTCCATCGTTCACTTTAGTCTCTGCATAGAGGTTATGAATGGAAAATCGTGTAGTTAAGATGTATATGGAGAGAAACAATATAAATCAAAAGATACTTTTACAATGGAAATAAGTAAAAAATAGAGCAAAACGAAAATCACGTCATATAAATGGAGACATAGGTATCAGTCCGATTACTGGTTTAATTATGAGTAGAAGAGTATTGAGAAATACGGCAAGAACATAGATGAATATGTAAATGAGAACATTATTGACATTTCCGGGATCAAACCAAAAGGAAGCAGCAGGTTCAGATCAAGAAATGATATCGGAATTGAACATAATGAACTTGGAAGAAAATGTAGACAGCAATTTAGTTTAGTTAATACTAATAATAGGGATGATAGATAAAGAAAAGTCCATACACTCAATACAAGAATGAATGATCAGAGGCCCTCCCATCCATCCATATTGTCGTTGTCCAATCATATCAATCACAAGCCTCCTCCCAATCATCCAACACATCTGCCGCATCCGCATCAGCGTTGCTTCCTTCAAAATTATTTTGTTGATGTCCATTGGTTGCGGTCTCAGTTTCAGACACCTGATGAGGTGCGGACTTGTTGTGGTTAATCAAAGAGCATTTTACCATGACTTTTGACAGAGCCGACGAAGTTGAGGTAGCGGTTTCAGATAGAGCACTCCACCTGTTGCTGCTTGATGGAGCAAATGGAGAGGATTCTTTCCCCTTCGTCCAGGCCGAGAGTTCCATGTTCGAACCATTCCAGGCCCCCTCCTCTTCAGAGCCCCTAACCTCAGGGACTACCACTATGCCCTTCTTCCATGCAAAATTGTTGTTATTGTAATTATTATCCTTCAGCAGCATTGAACCACCACCACCACCTCCTCCTCCAGCAGCATT